AGCGGGCGCGGGCGCATCGGGGGCGGCGGCGGGAGCGGTCTCGGACATCGCGGCGGCGTCCTCTGCGGAGCAGGCGAACACAATTGGGTTGGCTCCGGTCAGATGCTCGTATTTTTAGAGAGGAGCCGCGCGGTGATTGGTGCGTTGCAGAGCCCGCCCCGCTGCACGGCCGGGGAGCTCTTCGGTGTGCTCGATTTGTGTTTCTTTGGACTAACAAAAGTGTGTTTTCCTCGGAATTTCTGCGACCAAATCGCCCCATTTCCCCGGTGAGGGAGGAGAAGAGCAGGTACTTGCGTTCGGGAGAGTTTCCAGCCTCAGAGACGCGGGTTGTGTTAAAGGAGAAGCGATAAATCCTGTGTGCTGCTGCTGGAGAGACCTCTGAAGAGAGAAACTTTTGTTTTTCCTTGCAAATTAAAAATTTCCTTTTGACATAAATGTTACACCAACGACTCAGTCTGATTCTTTAGAGGGTTTTCTTAGGGTTAAAGTTGAAATCTTCCCATTTAAAGCTATTTTGACGGTTTAAATTGATTTTGAAGAGGAGGAAGTAACACAAACTCCTCTTTCAGCTCTGAATATGGATTAAGAACCGGTTCCTTTGACCATGTGTTTTACCTCCTAAAACACTAATGTCTAGTGAAATAGTGTCTCGTACAACCCCCTATTGCACTTTTCATAGAGCCATAAGCAATTTGTTAATATCTGGAGACTGATAGTTGTTTTATTTTGTCTTCCTGGAAATTCAGTGGAAGGGAAACAAACTTGCCCTGCTACCTTGTGCTGGGTGATTTCTTTCTTTTGTTTGTTTTCTGTATTCATTTCTTTACCAATTATTAGGTTAATCACAGTATTTGCTTTTCAACTGAAACAGTAATTTGATATCTGATGTTACAAAACCGCAGCATCATAAAAGAAACCAACCTTCTAAACTTCTAATGATATTTACTCAAATTTTCTTTGTCTCTTCGGTAGTTTAGGATGTGCAAGGACTACCATAACAGTTCAGTAGTTATGCTTCTCCTGCCCAGAGAGTATTACCTTGTTATATATGTTCTTGAATAGCAGTAGAATTTAAAACCATATTGCTGTTTTTTCTTTGTTTTGTTTTGTTTTTTACATGCCTCACACAGTGTGTCTACACAAAGGCTGATCTAAAGCCAATTCTGAATCCTCTTCCCAGTCTGAATAAAACCCACCTAATTCTTCCCTATGCATTTTACAGCCATCACTGAAATAAGGAAATGCTTTCAGGACAAAAACAACAGCACTTTGTGATAACCTGAGTTTTAACAAGGGGAGAGGTAGGCCATAGGTCGTTCCTAAAGAACCAGGAAGAATTCAAGCAGTATTGGTATCTGGTGGAAGATGATGTGATATGCTGAACAGAACCGAGCTCTGGAATAATATTTCATTAATATGTATCTGATTATAAACAAATATATTATTTATTGTCTTTAGTGACTTATTTAAGAATCACGAAGATTACACTCCAGCCTTGCCCTCTGATTTCCTTTGTTATTACCAGATATAACATATAATGTGAATGCAATATTTAAGCACATATCAGCAACCAAAATTTCAGATTGTATGAACAGGTAGTTCTGGGAAAGTGTAATCCTATTTTCACCCCATTATTTAGTTTTCAATGCCTCTTTTACAAATATTCTGTAAGTATATGACATGAAAACATTCTAGTTTGATGTAAATTTATTTTGAGTGAATATGAAGCTATGAATAAACAAAATAAAGGGGAAAAATTGCAGCCTGCACTCTAGAAGAAAATATCAGGAAAGAGCTTGCAGGAAAAGTGTGCCTGAGCTCTGTAATACTTCAACAGGAAAATAATTGAGAGAAGGCATCATCAAATTGTGATTTTAAGGTCTTGTTTGTAAAAGTTATATAACATCAAATAAAGATACAATTAAAAAAAAAAATCATTGGATGTGGGTGCTGAAGATATACCTTCACAAACTGCCAAAATTCAAGTAAAATAATATATGTAATTTTTAAGGCTATATCCTGTATATGTGTGTAAATCAATGAATAAGACTTCCCATTTACTGGACTACATAGTGAAATAAAGTAGCAGTGCTGGAAGAAGATGACATTTAGCAGCTACCAAGACACTTCATAACACAGAAACAGAGGAAAAGCCTAGACCATGAGTGACATGTCAGTATAACGAAAACTCAAGTTGCCTACTCTTGTTATTTTGAAATCATACACATTTGCTCCAGTACTCTTCACTGGAAGAGACACAAACATTCCAGGCCTCAGCTGTGGCTTCACAGAGTGTTGTTTCACATTTTTTGCTGGCTGAATTTGAGGTGGCTAAAATGGTCACCATCCCAGTTGTCTGCCTGGCTTCTCTCCCAGCAGTTGCTACCCTCTCCCTGTTCCCAACAGGGACAACTAATAATATGCATAGCAGCTTCTGATTTCCAACAGTTACAGTCTACTGTCTTAAAATAAATTGAAGCAACTTCTGAAATATAATGACACAGAGAGAAGCTCTTATCTTTCATGGCTTTGCAGCAAAGACAAAATTACTTTAACAATGTAGGATTGCTTCTGGGAACACATGTTCTTCTCTACTGAGGGAAATACATGCAGGAACAGCATTTTTTAAATATGAGGTATACTTGGCAATTTTAAATAGAGTTTGTTCCGCAATCAGAGCAGATAGTTTAGATGGAATGAACAGATGTATTCAGGCAAATAAAAATGTGATGGATTATATAAAAGGCAGGAATGGCAGTTGCACCTCCAGGTGAGAAAATTAGAGAAGGAATCAATCCTGTTTTAGGCATAGAATATTGTGGAAAGACTTAATGAAGAAGGTGCCACATATACTCTGACATGCAGTTTGGCTTTGCCAATGTGACTGGAGGGAGAAGACTTCACCACTCATTAATTGAGGAGGAGAGAGATATCAGGATCTCCAGAGATACTTTCGTACAGGGCATGACTCTAATGTCTACTACATCTGAATTACTTCAATCCTTCTTATGTCACTGGCTAATGG